ACCAAAAATTATCTTTTTTAAAAGAGAAAAACTCAGCAGCAACTGTCTTTTCCTATGTTGGCTTCAGGACTGGAAAACAAAACGTTTTTTTTATCAGGCCTGTGGTTGTTTAAAAACAGGACGGGTCTCGTTTTGTTCATTTCCTGCTGTCACCATGTTCCATAATGTTATGGACGGACCTGGAGATGAAAACTTAGACAAATCCAGAGAGAGAAAAGGGTCCAAACATGGTCTGACACAGTAGTTGTGAAATGCGCACAGGTTTTAGTCACAAACCAAATTCTCTATTTCCACAGCAGCCACTCGGAGAGATTAGCTTCATCTCTTCATGATTTTGTGGTATGTTGCTTTGTCCCTGTGCCATGAATGTCTGAGGTTCTGACTAAGACAAAGAAAAGGTGATTGTTGCTTCTGACCTATAAAAATGTAAACAAAACAGCAACTTATAGAGGAAAAAGAATGAATAATATAATCCTATAGGATAAAATCTAAAGATATGTGTTAGTTTAATCTGAATTAGATTTAACTAAATGAAAAACTAAGACAAATTGATTTTCCTTTCCTCCAAAAAAAAAATATGAATACACATGTATACACCTTACAGTTCACCAAATATATGGGATGTAGTTTGGGAAAATGCAACGAAAATATATAAAAGCTATGAGTTTATTAACTAAAATTATAGATTTGCAAAAATAAATAATTAGTTCCTGAAAGATTTGAATCAAAGTGGCATATTTTCCTGAGAGAGTGAAATAATATTACTTTTTTGGCACATGTAAAACAAGTATGTTTAAAAATAAATAAAACCTAAAACCTTAATGGATTTAAATCAAGGATGATAAAAGCAAAAAAAACATCCTCACTTTCAGAATTAGGACTGAAATAGCACCTGACATATAAATGGTTGGCTTACAGCAGAATAGTAACTGGTTTGCTGTTTATTGACTAGAGTTAAGGTACCTGCATATAAATAGACTGAAAAGCGTCCATTTTGAGGCAGTTACAGGAGGTTCGGTAAAGATGGGCGGGCTAAGGGTTCCATGGATCTGCCCATTTAAAAATTAAATCAAATGAACAGATTATGCTTGTTTAACAATAATTGGGCATTTCTTCAAATAATCAAGGACCTGTGTCATTATTTAAAAGCTAAATGCTAAAGTTTAATTTGTTAACCTGATTTAGATTAAACTTAAAGGGTAAATAAATCTATATGTGTGTAGCCTAAATAGCTTGTATAAAAATAAATTAGGCTGATTGAATTTGCTTTTACATTATTTACAATTCTTTAAAAAGTAAATCTATCTTAAGCGGATCTGGAATAAATATGCAAATTTATTTAACATAATTATTGGTTAATAATTATACGGTGTTCAAATGACTCAATTGGAAATAATGATGATAATAACATTATTTAATAATAATAATAACGATAACATTAATAATAATAATGATTACAATGATAGAGGATA